AAAAAGAAAAAAAAAATAAACCAGAATTTCATTTCTCCACACCCAAAGAACTGTGAGAATCCTGCCCAGCAGGGAAGAGGCCATCAGCAGACACCGGGGTTGAGAAGACATTCAAATGATAGAAAGACTGACCAAAGTTGTTTTTTAAAATTTTACTCATTGAAAATTTTTTTCTTGAGACAAGGTCTTGCTCTGTCACCCAGGATGGAGTGCAGTGGCATAATCTTAACTCACTGTAGCCTTGAATTCTCAGGCTCAAGCGATCCTCCTGCCTCAGCGTCCCAAGTAGCTGACACCACAGGCCCACACCACCACCATGCCCCATTACTTTTTTTAAATTTTTTTGTAGAGACAGATTTTGGGGCACCCCCGGTCTAGCCGCACGTATGCCCCCCAGTGGTGGTTCTGGGAATGACCAAGGTTGGCTACTCAAGTCAGTTGTCTGGGTGAGTTAGAGTGAGACACACACAGACACACTTCGCAGGCGCACCTGAGGGTTGGGGGGCGTTGGGGGTGGTTTTCGGGTACTTCTCGGCTCCCGGGCTCCCCAGACCTCCCTTCCCAGCCCTCAGGCCGGAAAGCAGGGGTGACAGAGCACACAGAGACATAGGAGATTCCACAGCGGAAGGGGAGCTGACCCGCCTGTGGGCAGGCACCAGGACAGGGGCAGGGAGCCACCGGGGCCGTGTTGCCCCTTTCAGGGTCAGGTTGTATGTCTGCTCTCTCCTGCCCCCACAGAGGCAATGCTAACAGCAGAGGTGTGACTGCCACAGCTCCCTCCACCACTGCGATTGTGTCTCCGTATTTATTCCTGCTCACGGGGGTTTTACCTTACAGACAGGAGTCACACCTGTGATTCTTGCCCTTAGAAGCTCCCGCATCCCGGCAGGAGGTCCCCACACAGCCCCCAGACCACACCCCAGGTCTCAAGGGTGGTCGCTCTGCGGGGTGCACGTCCGGCCACGGGGCCGCCTGGGGGGCTCCTTGGGGTTGTGTCGTGAGCGTGGATGTGCAGGCCTGGGCGTCTGCACTTGAGAGTGGGACCGGCTAGAGCAGGGCAGGCAGGTCGCCGGGGCAGGCGGGGGCCTCCTCCCGTGCTGTTCCTGAGTAGCCACAAGAGTGCGTCCAGGCAGGTGGCAGGCGACACTCCACACCCATGCGAGGTGTGACCCGGTCACTTGGAACAGCTGGATCGGTTGCATCTTCCTCCTTAGCAATAACCCTCACGAGCATCAGATCCTTCCGGGAAGGCCATCGTGCGATCAGGCCACACCCGGATCAGCAGGCACGGCACAGCGGGGCAGTAGACACCCTCAGAAAAGGTGCCAGGGGGTTGCTGGGGCTGGATGGCTTGTGTACTCATCAGTCACGATACTTCAAGAGCTGTTACCAGATTACCTTCAAAAAAAGGCTGTAACAGGCCAGGACAGGAGGATTGCTTAAGGCCAGGAGTTTGAGACTAGCCTGGACAACACAGTGAGACCCTGTCTCTACAAAACATAAAAGAATTAGCCAGGCGTGGTAATGCCTGTAGTCCCAGCTACTCGGGAGGCTGAGCGGATGGGAGAATCGCTTAAGCCCAGGAGGTCAAGGCAGCAGTGAGCCCCAGCCCAGGTGACAGAGCAAAACCCTGCCTCAAATTAAAAAGGGGGTTACCTTGTCTCTTTCATTGGCCTTTCCATGATTCCTGATGGGATGAGGACTTTCTTCATGGAATTACTGGCCAGTTTCCTGCTCTGTGAATGATCCCTCCACATCTCTGCTCACTTTTCCCTATTGGCTTTTGTCATTTTCTTTAGCAATATATAAAAGCACTTTAAATCTTAAGGACTTTAATTGCTCCCATGTATGGCCAATATTTATTATTTCTTTCCCAACTATTTCTGGCTGCTGCTGCTGTTTTTGTATTTCAAGGGAGGCGAGGGCAGGTGCAGCAAAGTAGCCGAGGTTGCCCTGGTCACCAGCCCCTGGCCTGGCCCAGCCTGCCTCTGCGTGGGGCCACCTCCTTCCCCGTTGGCACTTCTGCGTCTGTGTCTGCTCCTGGGGCTGCTGGCTTCGATGTCTCTTCCTCCTTTCACTTCCCCCGGCGGTTATGGCATGAGGAATGGAACCTCGTGGACCATATATAATACCCCCCAGGCCTTACTCGCTCCAGCAGACCCTACGGACCGGACTGTGTGGGACACGCCTGCGGCCACAGCAGCCACCAGATGGGTTGGGACTGCAGGGTCCCTGTTAGGGCAGGGACGGGGGAGTGTCTGGCTGTTCTGGGACTCTGAGCTCAGGTGACGGATGGATGTGCCTTTCAGGACTGCAGGTGACGGACGGACATGCCTTTGGAGCAGTGCAGTGTGTGGGCACGTGGCAACGTCGCGTGCCGTCCTACTTTGAGGAGCGCCACCCTCGAGGCCTGCATGGCAGCAGCAGCAGATTCCAGGCAGTGGCGACTTGTCTCATCAACTCTGCAGAAAAGTGACGCGAATCCCCCTGTGATTTCATGACATGTCACTTTCAAACAGCATGGGCCACTGAATAACAGAAAGTCTATAGGCATTTGGTATTTACCTAAAACTTTATACATTCAAATTGGCACCAAAACCTGTCTCCTCCCGGACTCCATCTAGAATGTCCTGGAGCAGCTGGAGGTGGCTGATGGATGTGTGACCGCTCCCAGCACCCCGGGCCTCAAGCCTGCTAGGCTGTGCCAGGCTGTGCAGCCTGCCTCTGCGTGGGGCTGGCACACCTGGCAGGCCCCCTGACCCTGACCCTAGCCCAGCTGATACCTGCTGTTCCATCCCCCAGTCACAGGGCAGGGAACCAGCTGGTAGCCAACCTGGCTGTGCCCAGTAGTGGTTTGGACCCTGGGGACACCTGAGGTTGAGAGAGTGGCCCTCATCTGTGGCACACTGCTGACTGCACACACAGGGTGGTCTGAGGGGGCAGAGAGCCCTCTCCCTGGTGCCCTCAGGCGGCAGGGGAAACGGGCTGTCTCTGCTCTCCCCTCCAGACCTGGTATCCCCCTCTCTGAGACTGCGGCACCCCCCAGCCCTCCTGCAGCTCCTCTCCATCCCCTCCCACGTCGGCCCCCCTGGCTGTGCCCTGAGGGGTGGTCTAGTGGCCCAGCTCCAACTCTGTCCAGGCAGGAAGGCCCTGCAGCAGTGACCTCAGAGGAGTGGGCCCAGAAGCTGGGCCTGGGGCGGCCCCTGGAGAGCACTGAGAGGACAGACCCATGCGGCGGCCGAGGTGGAGGATCAGGTTTAATGGTCACTATGAGGGGTATCGTACACCGTTCCGAGCCCGGCCCCCGCCCCAGCCCTCCCTCAGCCGGGAACACAGCCAGGTGCCCTCAGACCCCTGGCTCTGCACAAGGGGGGCCTGCCCCCTACCCCAGCTATATACACGAGCGCCCATCCTGCCGACTGTGGACAAAAGCTGGGAGCTCCTCCGAGTCAGGAGCCCCTACAGTCCACCAGCTGCGCGGCCGGGTCCAGGGGCCCACTGCGGTACCGGTGACGTTCTTGAAACCCAGAACCCAGCCCCAGCCGGGCCCCTGCCGAGCCCCAGGCCTCTGTGCTGGGATGGAGCCTCCAGGTTGAGGCTGGTAAAAGCTGAACTCAACAGCAGCAATGAGAGTGCTGGGTGAGCTTGGGGGGATGGGGAGCAGGCCCCACCCGGAGCCTCTGCTGAAGGAGGGGACGCTGCGCCCTTCCCTCCTGCTGCCCAGATGTCCCTGCCGGGTCTGGCGCCAGCTGAGGTCTGAGTAAGCGGGGAGAGGGGGTGGCAAGAGAAGTGGAAGTGAAAGCACAGACAGTCGGAGACTCGGCCAGTGCAGACAAAGCCAGAGACTCGGCCAGTGCAGACAGAGCCAGGCTGGGCAGCCTGGAGACGCTGGCCCCACGCACACGGGCCACCCTGGTGCTGGTGATCGATACGGCAGGGAGGGGGTGGGCAGGGAGGGTCCTGAACACATGTGGGCTGCTGGGCTGGGGTGCCTATGCTGTAACTAGCAGCACAGTGCTTAACTAGTTAACAAGAAATGCTGCTTCCCTTTGAACTGTTTCGGGGGTGTAGAAATTGCACTTATTTCTATGAACCCCATGGAGGGGATTCCCAAAGCCGAGCCTCCAGGCGAGGCATGGCAGGTCAGTGCCTGGCCGCTGAGCATCCACGGGCCATGGGGCGGGATCCTCCCGGCCCCCAGGGACTGAGGCCTCTGTGGCCATGGGTGCGGTGAGGACCGGAACCCACGGGGGGAACCTGAGCAACGTCTGAGGTGCCCTGAAGTGGCTCCAGGCAAGACCAGAGCCGCACAGTCCCGGGGAGCACGAGGCGGCCCAGCCCCAGGTCCCTGTGCAGACGGAGCGGCCTGATGGCGACTGGGCGGAGGCCTCTGCCCCTCACAAGACGTCGTCAAAGTCCAGCAGCTTCGAGTGCTGGCGGCTCTTCCAAAGGCGATACAGCCGGAAGTCAAAGTACGTCTCGATCATCTGCTTCCCTGGGTGGAGCGGGGGGCAGGAGGCTCAGGCCTGGCCGGCAGCCTCGGGATCCCGCCCCACCGAGGCCCCACAGCGGCTGCAGTGCTTGGGCCCAGCCTGGGTAACTCACCTTGGGCTGAGAGCTCCAGGGGTGACTCGAAGGTGACCCTATAAGGAGTCATGAGGGTCCTGAGGTTCTGGAACAGCTGGAAGAAGGGGGGTGCCGTGAGTCTGAGGCAGAGAGATGAGGAAGGAGGAGGGGGGAAGAGATGGGGAGCAGGGCCCACCCTCTTTTCTCAGACCCCCCAAACCTGGCTGCACTCAGGCAAAAGGGATTTCTAGGGGAATGCCCGGGGCAAGGAAAAAAAAAATGCCAGGAAACACGGAAGGCCCTGCCCTGTCTGTCCACGTTGGAGGTTTCCAGAGGCCTGGGGTGGGGCCTGGGAGTCACTGTACCTTCTCCCCATTGGGGTTCCCCAGAATGTAGCAGCCCATGATGTGGATGACGTTCGGCTCTGGGTTCACTTTACTCATCAGGCGGCTCAGCCGCTTCCAGAAGCTGGTGGAGAGGGGCGTGTCACCCAGTGGCAGGGACAGGCATCCCGCTCCACAGAGGGGACCGTGGGGGAGGGACACTCCGGAGCCCGGACTCTGCCTCCAGCCCTCCCCGCGCCCAGGGCACCCGGCTTCTCACTGAATCATGTCCTCTTCCTTCTCCACTTTGGCAAAGGTGGCCACCTTGTTCTTGAGCAGATAGAGGTGTCCAGGGCCTCCCTGTAAGAAGCTGTGGTCAGGCACCTGCTCCTCCTTCCTCCCCCTCTCCCACACACATGCACTCGCGCACACACGTGGGAGGTGTTTTTGGTCGTCCTCTCCTGGCCATGTCTCTTCCCCTTGGTCTCCCTGACCCTACGCCTCTTCCCCTTGGTCTCCCCTCCAAACACCTCTTCTTCTTCATCTCCCCCACCACGTCTCTTTCCCTTGGTCCTCCACGTCTACATCTCTTCCCCTTGGTCCCCCCCTCACCATGTCTCTTCCCCTTGGTCCCCCCCTCACCATGTCTCTTCCCCTTGGTCCCCCCCTCACCATGTCTCTTCCCCTTGGTGCCCTCCCATGTCTCTTCCCCTTGGTTCCCCCCCACCATGCCTCTTCCCCTTGGTCTCC